ACTTCCCATATCAAGACGACCGACAGTGTCAAAGTCCGCATTGCTAACGGGTACAGATAGACTCAACAACACCAAGCACAGAAGAAAACGTGAGAAAGGCTCAGCAGGACGCGTCGACGGCGCGTGCGGGATGGCTTCTGAGGAACAATATCACGGATAGTGTCATGACGGCCAACCCCATCCTCAAAGCTGTCCATGGGAGCACACAGTCAACGCCCATCGAAACGTACGTCAATCCTTGATTTTGTGCTCAAAAAATCACTATCATTTTATCCATGATTAAACTATGACCTCCTAAACTTTGGTGTCTGAGTGCTAACAGGAAGCAGTGACCTCCTACCACACATCCGCTCCCGCGACAACGTCTCTGTCGCCCTCGCCAACAAATCAGAAGACATCCGCAGCCTCATCAAGCAGCTGACTGAGGTGGAAGCCGAGAGCCTACGAGTCGGCCGGAAAAACGTGGAGCTCACAGCCGAGATCCTCAGGCTTACTGAGGATGCGGAAAAGAGAAATGCGGGCGAGACTGACGACCCCGCCGTGCAGGCGGAGATAGCCAGACTTGAAGCCGAGATGAAGGCGAGCATACGGCGGTGGAAAGTTATGAAAGGCACCGCCAGCGCTGTGGTCGTTGGCAGCGGCGTAGACTGGTCCAGAGATGAAGCGCTGCGCGAGGTAGTACTGGACCCCGAAGATGACGAATAGTGAAAAGCTTGCCAGACCTTGGAGATCAGAAGCTCACATTGGCCCACGATACGCATGGGGCAGGGTGGACAGAGGCACCTGAGCGCCGTGGGGAGCTGCGGGCAGCCGCCTAGAATCCAGGTATGGACATACTCAGGCTCGCAGGCCCATCTTATCATGACCACATCATCTCAGGAATCAGGACTCTGAGATGGTGCCAATTACAATGGCGTATTACCACCGGTTTGAGGGGCTCGTCAAATGGAATGGACCGAAACCCAAGACCTCAGTACGTCGGAACGTTCGCTTCAACCCGCCCTACGCAGGTTGTATGCAGGTACGGACCTCCAGAGGCTCGGTCAAGTCGTGACCGCGGTCTAGGTCGTCGGGCCATACGGTTGGCATTACCAGATCATGGTGCTCGCCCTGCCCTGCGGACGATCGATTTGCTGTTGCTCATAGTAGCGTATCCGTACGGCACGGCATCGGCACCTGAGGGCACCACCCGAAGGCGTTTTTTGGTTTTCAAGCTCACCTTCGGCCCCTGCCGGCTCACGAAACTGGACAGGGCTTAGCGGCACCTCGGACGCTATGACCACGGTGATGTCGAATCACGTGGGTGAGCTTGGCTCCGAGATCTGCTCCTGTGGCCAATGCTTGAGCTTGATCAGCTGCTCTGTCTACCTACCTTATGTAGCTGGATCGCTGGAAACTATGAGATAGCAAAGAATAAAAATTGTCTGATGAAACGCGTTTCAATATCTTCAAGAGGACCCGTAAAACGTCACGGGGCTTGATAAAGCGGTTGTAGTGAGCTCATCCTCTTCCGTTATGGTGACTTTCGCGCGCAAAGTGACAAGACTCGAGAGCTCCCAGACGCCGTGAACAGCTTAAGCGTCGAGATGAACCACGCGTTTCGCGTTTCCATTACATACCCTGTGACCATAGAAAGATCATGCCTTTTAGATTAGATAATCAACGTCACTCAAGGTCCGTCTAGAAGAGGGAAGAGGGAAGGGAAAATGGGACTGGAAGTTGGGGGGAGCTTTGCACTCCCCGTCAGTCAAGCTCTGTGTCTGCTGCGACAGATCAGCCAGGAGGCCCAGGAGGAGTGGAGCATGGGCTCGCGTTGAACTACACAGTCTACACTACACCTCAGTCTCCGACTCTCCATGTACCTCTCGTGTGCAGGTCCTAGGCGTGAGCAGCAAGAGTGTTTGGCTTGGGAGGGGGTGTGTGTGGTGTGTGGGAGAGAGTGATTGAGTGAGAAAGTGGGAGAGCCTTCAGTCAGGGAGGGCCAATATTTGCCGAGGGACCATCAGGTACAGCACAGTATCAGCAAAACAAAGGCAACCAGACCAGCGAAATTGCCTGGCTCCGTGTATCCGCTTCAAGTCGTCGGTACTTTGCGCACTTTGTTCGCCAGCCCGTTACCACCGCCTTCCCAGTGCTAGCCCAGCCAAACAGGGAACAAGCGGGCAAAAGCAAAATGGCTGGGCCCGGCGGCCCTGACTGGAATGGTGAAATGGTGCGGCAACGCCCTCCTACTGGAGTCCTGGGCAGACACGGCTTGTCTGGCTCATGGGCAAAACGCGCTGCTGGCTTGCCAATTTGCAGAGGAGACCTGCATTGGGCGTCTTGGGTGCGCGTTGGGTGCATTGGAGCGGGGGACCGTATCGATTGTCGTTGCAGGCATTACCCAGTCTTATGCCTCGAGGTACACGAGACGCCCGCACACTTTGTGCGCATGACGAAGTATTCCACCCTTCTTTGACGCCGGGAGCGTTGCACCGCCTGGCTGCTGCCCGCTTCGTGGTGTGTCGGTGTTAGAAGACGTACTCCGTAGAACAGAGACGAGATAGACACGCCGCTCGCCGTCGGTCTCCGGTCGCCATGCAATCGTCAAGCTCCGCAAATAGTAACGCAGCTCTTTCTCCGTTATTTAATGTGAAGCTTACGGCTCTGTACGGAGTAGACTCGCTTTCAGCATAGGATGTGTTGAACATAGCTGATCGCTAAATAGTACCTACCAGTAAGCCCTTCGTCGATCACCTGGCGGCGGAGGGTAACTTGGAACAGTATGTACTGCGCAACCACGCATCCGCTGCAGAAGCAGGTTGCTCTAGGAGTGTCCAACAATAGACACTACGGAGGCGGATGGATGATGTAGGAATCGATGGCAGAGGGGAGGCTGGGGAGGTCCCAAGTGTACCGTGAGCTGCGCATGAGGAGTGATTGGGCGCATTCGCCCAAGCTGATTCCGGAGTCGGTGGACCGCGTTTGGGGTACCTTGGGCCAAGTAGCGGTACAAGACAATCTCGTATGACGGTACATGGGGCGTATGCATGAATCAAGTACCCAGATTCCGTTTCGGCCAGCCTGAATGCCATCCCCATCAGTCAGTCATCATGACTTCCGGTCGTTCCAATGTCACATCTCCCTGAGCAACAGCGTGAGGTGCTTCGCATCACGCCTCGTCACCCGAAGCTGAGTCTACGCCTCCGTGCACACCAGCCGACGGTGTGCCCCTGACTGCCAGGAGATCACAGTTTAGCTCGGTTTTTTAGATGAGGTCGATTCTTAGTAATACGATGAGTAGATGCTTCGATAGCGAGTGGTCTAGAGGCGCCCCAGTCAGTTGCTGTAAGCTCCTATGGGTTCAGGGGCTCTCCAAGTCACGTCGAAAGCTGGTGGGTGGCTTCACGCCGGAACTCAGCTAAATGGTGTTGCAATCTGTGCCGCATATGAAAGCCACCATGGGGTCTGCCGTACTGTGTATGTATCTTGTCTGACCGCGTGGACCAGCAACCCAGGGCGAGCCGGACACGGAGCGTTTGTCGAGAACTCTGAGCCGACGGTGCCTATAGACTTTGGTGCGTTTTGGAGGCGATGTCCTTGGGTGTTGATAGGACAAGCCACTTTGAAGAGGGGAATGCCGCAAAGTGTGTCGAGTGGTGTTTTAGTGTGGATGAAATTGCGCAGCGATGTTCAGGAAGCACAATCACTTACACAGTGTGTGAGAGTGTGTAAGCCAACTTGTTCCTCCATTCTCCAAACATTGAATCCTCCACCACACCACAGGTGCTCCATCGATTTCCCAATATCCATAATCCAGCCGGCCGAGCCTTGTTGTCTTGGTAAACAGCCGAAAGCTGCGAAGGCTTGTCAGCGGAAGACGCTAAGGAGACAACGTCGCGAACATGAGGTCACTAACACCCACAGCCCCAGCAAAGTGCAAGTGATGGACATGTTAGTGTGTCCGAGGTATAGCTTGTCTCCCATGGCGAAGGTTTGCTTTGATGGCGAAGGAAGTGATGTCGTCCCATAGACCTAATTCAAATCGTGCAGACCTCGAATTCCACGGAGAGTTGGCGAAAAGAAGCTTCAACTGCTGTGATCGACCATCCGACATGCTGTACCGAGCAGATGCATCTACCTAATGGAAGAGTCGCCAAGGTGTAAGGGATCTTACTGCCTTGAATTGGAAATGTCGAGGCAACGTTGGCTATTGGACTTCCGTCTTCCCCGTACGGCGTGTTCGGTCTTCAATGTCTGACCGATGTACCTACGGCATGTCTAGCGAACGGGCCCTTGCCATTCAACAGGCGGTAGGGAGGATCGGAAGTATCTTAGCGCTCATGAAGATGACGAAGAAGTGCCTGGTCCAGGCCAAGTGCAGTCGGACGGAGTAGGTGTGCCACTGCACGTCTCTGCGATCTGGGAGTACGAATAGGTACACAAGGTCGTCTCCCTTAGGCTGTCAATGCCTAGTGGTATCGCATCACTGTCGTATGAAGGATGGTATAAGTAGCATGGTATGCTAGGCTAATGGTGCATGCGCGGAACCATCCTCGAATGGATGGGTCATGGCTGGTGTTGAAGAAAGAGGCCGTGGATCCAAATGATAGTTGTCGATAGCATGGGGGTGTAAATGGATGGTAACATGGGATTCGTAAGAAGCTGAAGCTTGACGAGCCAGTATTCAGTCTCTCACTGCTAAGAACGAAAGCAGTCAGAAGTAGAGGGGGAGGGACTGGGAATGGCAACTTGGGCGAGACTGAAGACTGGAGAAGTCGGTTGATGGACGAGAGATGGTCCGTGTGGACAGTGACAGGAGGAAGGGAAGGTGGGGTAAGGTAAGGTAAGGTGGACGGAAAGGAAAGCACGAGATGCTTCAAAAGGAACCTAAGACTGGAAGAGGGAGCGAAGCAAAAGCAGGAGCAGGCACAGGACTCAACCGCACCTCACCTCAGACATTGGCGAAAGAGCCGGCACGTAGCCGTACGTAGCAAGCGGAGAAAGAAGGCGCGACGGCTTTAAAGTACACAGTGCGAAAAGATAATATAAAACACAGGTACAAAGCAGATGTACAGTACTTCGGTGCGGAGTTTTGCGTGCGCTTTGTACCTGTACAGTACCACAATAATAGCAGCGGCACACCAAGAGCAAGGACTGTCCGAGGATGGAGTGATTGAAATGGATGGGAAGCGGGCGACAAGCTGGACCAGACCCGAGGGGTTGAGACGAGGACGGAAGGCAAAAGAAGAGCACCGCAGGATGGGCCAGATCCTGCTTCTTTTCCCTGCTTCTGTTACCTGGCCAGGTACGGTTTTGGCTACGGCCACGACCACCTGGACGGATACCTTACATAGTATACCTGAAGCTAAGGCCATTGGCGCCTGCCTTGCAAGATGCTGCTGGATACGCAGTAGGTAATATGTCGCTCCTTCCTTCTCCATCGCGTCGCCAGCACGTTCGCAACTTCTGATCGCGCATTGTCCACACCTAACTTGGTCTGTTCTGGTTCCGCAGTTTGATTTATTGCCATGGACTTCAATAAACAGGCGAATAGGTTGCGTGCGGACGCACTTGCATACTAAGGTAAAGTATCCGTAAGGTAGGGAGGTATCTTTCCGTACTGATCCAGGTACTGGGGTACTTTCGAGCATGTATCCGTAGCTGGCCGCTTCAAGGTGTGTGTAGTCGTTGTCCCCTGGCAGATGCGACGAGCAGGAAGGGGGTAGGCAGACTCAAGGTGTGAAAGGAACGTGAGGTACTTTGCACGGCAGTCTCTGGTGCAAGGTACCTTTACCTTGTGGGTGGGCGCGGACTGTAACTAGGAGGGACTTGGACTTCCACGTAGGAGGGGGGGAGGATGATGGGGAGGAGAAGGATGGGGAAAGAAGGGTCAAGCTGGACTCTGGAGCAAAAGGCAAGAGAAGGGAAGGGTGCGCACGTCGACTGTCAGGGAGGGAAGGCGCGCCCACACCCTTTCCCTTCTCATCGCGCCTTCCCCCTCTCTTGCCTCTCTCCTCTTTTGTGCCCTTCGCCTGGTGGGCGGGTGCCCGGTGTGCCCAGTACCAGGCCAATGCCGCCAGTTACCACCCAGTGACAAGTGTTGCCAATGCCAGTGCGCAGGCCTCTTTTTTTTTTTTTTTTGCCCGTCGTCTGGTTTGGTACGGATACCTGCCCAGCCTACCCAGACACCCATCCCCTCCTAGCCATTCAGCGTGCAGCAGCAAGCCCAGGCACAGGCGAGGAAGCGACGGGAGGGAAAGCGAAAGTGACAAGCGTCCGCACCTGCGCAGGCCAAAAAAAAAAGATGATTTGGAGTGATCCAAGGAGAAAGAGGAGGAGAGCCCGTCCACGGTGACCCCCCTTCCTTCCTCAGTTCTCCCAGTCTCTCACTCAGTCTCGCACACGGTACGAAGTACCACCCCCAGTCCACTCGCCCAGTCGCCAGTCGCAGTCAGTCCTGGCCCCGTCCCAGACTTCCCAGCAAAAACAAGTGCACCCAGGCGCGTTGCTCCCGCACAATCACTCCCCCCATAGTAAAAAGGCTGCTTGGCCCTCCCCCCATACATTTCCCTCCCTCTTCTTCTCCCATACAAATCTCCCACCCAAATCCTCCTCTCTTACAATCCGCACTCTCACAATACCACACTTTACTGCCTTCGCACTCAACCCCGTGAGTACCTGCTGCCCATATACCATTGCCCACTTGCACCATCAACCACCGCAACATACACGCGCAACATCATCCTCTTCTATTTTCACTGTCGCTACAATTTCGATCACTCTGCCTCGATTTGCAACTCAGAAATCGCTTTTTAACAAGTCGATATCGTGGGTGCGATCCGTTGTTGAGCTTCGAACTTTGGCGTGCACCTCTTCGTCTCTTACACGCTCGTCCATCAACCAGCTTCAACCATAGAGCTTTCTAGCTAACAAGAGCTTGACGCGTCCAGATCACCACATCAACACCTCTCTTTCCACCTCTCAAAAACCTCCTCAGGTATGCTTTACGATCCCTCTTGGACGACTTTGAGCTTCAAATTGCAATTACCTCGCGTTACCGAGCGCAATTGCACTTGCGACTCAACCACCCACACACCCTGGTTCTCGCTGCACCGCGGTCCTCTTGCACTATGGCTTTCCGGCATGACGGCGCGGCGGCTTTGCCGTCAGTCGTCATGTCACGCCGATTCCATCACATCCTTCACCCTTGGCTCTTCGTCATACCATCACATTCATCTCGACATTAAAGCAGCTTGACTGACCATATTCAAGATACCAAAATGCCTAAGGCCGCGACCAAGCGAGGTGCCGCTAAGGACACCAAGAAGCGCGCGAAGAAGGGTACGTTGCCAAATCGATCCTTACTTGTCTCGAGCCGTTGTGAAATTTGGGCAAGTTTGACGTACAGAGAGGTTGGGCCTGAAGGGAGTCTCAATAAGATTCCACTAGGTCACGCCTCGGACGGCTTTTGACTTGCCCGCTTTGCGCTACGCCTATCTAGACCAGTTATCTTGCCATGAACATGTAGCTAACATGCTATTCAGACCCCAACGCCCCCAAGCGTGGCCTTTCCGCCTATATGTTCTTCGCCAACGAGCAGCGCGAGAACGTTCGTGAGGAGAACCCCGGTATTTCCTTCGGACAGGTCGGCAAGATCCTCGGTGAGCGCTGGAAGGCCCTCAACGAGAAGCAGCGCGGTCCCTATGAGGCCAAGGCTGCCACCGACAAGAAGCGCTACGAGGACGAGAAGCAGGCATACAACGTAAGACACCCCCAAACCCCCACTCCATCTGGCCGTGTTGTGCTGAAGCTAATTAGTCACTCTAAAGGCCGAACAAGAGGAGGATGAGTCCTCTTGATTGCTGTCTTTCTGCTGCTTCTCAGTCCGAACGGGTGGCGTGGAGTTAGTTTTTGCGCACATCTTTCGGACTTTCCTTGTAACTTTGGGCTCGGCGGTGTATGATGGTATTGAAATGGGTTGCTTTTCTCGTTATTCAGGATCGGCAGGAAGGCGGATTTGAGGCAGGCGAAGCTCTCACGCCGCCCCGCGTCAATAGCAGAGCTGGTCATGCCGCCCGTCGCGGAATGAAACTGTCCACGATTGGGACACAATGACATTTGACGGCTCACACATTGACAAACATGCATAACTACCTTTTTGTTCCATCGCAATGTGAGTGAATGTTACAGTGAAGGTGTGTATGGGTGGGTGATGCGCCAATCATGGTAGTATGGTGTTTCTGCCCTTGTTCTCAAGGGTCCTTCCCCAGGTCCAGGGATCTGGGTTGATGGGGCTTAGTTTTGTGCAGCCACTCAAGGGTCTCTATCACTGCGACCCCGTCGTGTCATGGGATTTAGTAAGGCACAGCGACTCGATTGCCATGTTCCGCTAATGCAGATTTGCCTGAAGCCGGTTGGGGATCATATAGACCCGACGGCCAAAGAATGATCAGCTTGAGTGGCCCATGGCCTTGGAGACCTTTCCCTTCTGAGCTGAAGCCGCTTCCGCGATTGCGATTCGAGGTGAGTCGGTGGACCTCCGGGGACTCGGTGAGTCGGTGAAGATAGGCCACGGCTGAACATCGGATTTCAGACCTCGAATAAGTGGAGATAAGGTATCTCCATTTCATTCCATCTACCTTACCTAAGGTATCCGTAGGTGCTCTGGCAGGATGGAAGTGAAGGAGGTACGTATCCTGTCTTAGGACGTACCTACCTTACCTCAAGCTGTCTGCCTCCAATCACGGATTCCAATGACAGAAGGATGTCTCAGTCTCGGCACCTCCTCAATCCTCATGCCTTACCCTTCAAGGCCGCGTTTCCCTCCCGATGATCAGACACGCCATGCAGGTGCGAGCCTGGGGAGTTGATGTTGGATGCCTGAGCAGGATGAAACAAGGCTGCTTCTTTCACCCGCCCGAAAGCGTTGGATGTGCTCGTGTACAAACTCATAAAAGGAGCCCATGGCCGCAACAATAGACACTTCGGGCGCCGGCTCCTTCAAACTTCGAATACTAACCAGCCATGTCGAAAACAACCTTCCCGGTCATCCACCACACTCTGCTAGCCTCACCTACAGCACTGCTACCCACAGACTGTCTGTACTTTGGCACCAATGTATGAGTCTTCGCCGTTCCAGAAACCAAGGACAGCTACCTGCTCTCATCGTCATGGGCTACAGTGAAGGGCAGGCGATTATATCAATGAACACCATGGATCCCTGGCCTTCGCAACCAGATTTAGTCTATCGAACTCCACCACCAAGTATTGACAATTCGCATATCGGCCCAGTAGTTTTTCGTCGCATGAGATGAACCAACGAATGTTCTGCAGCTACTTCTCCCAGGATCTCTCGAGGCTGGGCCCTCCAAAGCCTGCCTACATTGTGCAGAAACGAAGCGATCGCGTCCATACTTAGCCTCCATCTCACGCACCGCAGATTTATTTACCAAATATTCTCTTGGCTAGGCATGTGGCCCGCCGTTGGGGAATGTCTACTCGGAATTCTTGATGCTTCACATCACTTCACATGCTCTACACAGCTGATGCCTGTCAGTTCTATATCCTCGGTATGCCTCTTCGCACATTTCGTTCGCTACCATCATCACCCACCTTCGTATCGATCTATCGATGGTATTCTGTCGAGCGCGAGAGACAAGCTGCTCTTCGCAGCAGTGCGTCCGAGCATTTCCAAAGATTTCCATTTCCGCAGATGACCTAGGTGCATCGCACGACCGATCAATTACCTCGACAGTGTACTTTGTATGATTACATTACTGAAATGGTCACCTAGTCGTCGCAATCTGTATCTCGATGCCAATGTTTTCTTACGTTCCCCCGGGTCTATGGTGGAAAGGCTTGTAAGGAGAGTTCGTCTGCATTACTTATGCAAGTGCTCACAACCTGGACCTCCACCCCACCGGCTCCGGGCCGGCCTCATTCGTCCGTTGATCCAGGTCGAGCGTTCCTAATGCATGCAGAGGAAAGCATACATGCCCATGGGGCCATCCCCAGCTGTCGTGGCATGCTCTGGCTAGTCGGTGGCCGGATCAATATGTGTTGAGCCCACACTCCTTTCTCTGAGAGCAATCTGACCTACATACGCTCCTCTTTGCCGTTACGGCCCCAGGCCCTCCTTGCGATATCTTGGGTAGCGGTTGCTAGAATCGACCAGATTGCATCGTTTGGCCTGAACCTGTTGACACAAGGATCGTTCACTCGATTTGGTAGTTCGAGGTTTGAGGCGACCAATACCTCGTTGTTTTTGACACACCTTGGGCCTGGCTGGAGACAGACAAGGAAAGACTTGACGTATCTCTCACGAAGAAAAGAACACAACATAGCCAACGTCCAGCGAATTGTGCACGCTCTCGTCCTCCTCAAAATCATAGCTGATCATTGCACGAAGACAACGAAATTCAGACACGTCAGACGCAAGCACCTGGTGTCTGGGCGTGTGCTGCCAACACAGAACAAGAGCGATCTGGATCATTGGGTTTGAAGTCAGGCGGGGTGGTGGCGTGTGTTTCCGTGCTGGCCGTTGAAATCGAGACCTGCAGCTCCGAATCGCTGTTGCAGCCGCTTCCCGTCCAGTAAGTGGCTGCGAGTGTAGCGACCACGTTACCGCTGCATATTTGAGATTACCATGCTA